TTCTCTCTGTATGGTCCATTCACACATGTAATCTCACTTGATCTGCAGTTATTAACAGTACTGAATAAAATAATAAATGAATGGAGCCTCCAAAAGGAGACACCAAGGAAAATAGTTCTTGCCTCTTGGGGTTACTGGATGTTGTGACGAGAAGTTACACATTTCTGGATAAGGAGCAAATTCTACGGTGCCCACTCCATATAGAAGTTCTAAAGTCTCTAGTGAAAATCTTGCACAACTGGGGCCAGTCAGGGGCATAGGTTTTGCTCAATTGGTCTGAGACCCATAGCTCTCCCAAGTGTTGACTACACCTCCTATAAGTGAGCTCTCTCACACTGCCTGCTAAAAACCATCCATTTGCGCAAAAGCAAAGAGCTCCAGTGAGAAAAGAAATGCAAATAGAAGACTTGAACTTCTCTCTGTGATCTGATGGCACCGCAAACAGAACCAAGAGTACAGGAACCCTGATCCCTTGTAGACATTCTAGTAAAGATCTCAATCCGACCAGCACTGTGTGGTGGAGGTTGGTGAACAAAGATGGGAATTAATGAAATATTTGCTTGAGATACTGGGTGGGTACATTGCATTGGATCTTGCCGACACATATTTTTACTGAATTCAGTCCCAGTTAGATTTTTAAAAAGCTACTGTAGTTTTTTTATAACATAGTAGCTGCCAATATAATTGAAACAGGGCCAAAACTGATAGTTTGGTGCCGACGCTCTAAAGCCCTAATGGCCTCGCACTGTCTAACCTGAAGGGGCGTCTTCCACCCCATCATTCAGCCTGGACACTGAGGTTCCAGCGCGATGGGCCATTCTGGCGGTTCCCTCATTTTGAGAAGTGAGGTTACAGGGCACGAGGCAGAGGGCCTCTCAGTGGTGGCAGCCACCCTGTGAACGCCCTCACCTACGATGTCAAGGAAATACACACATCTGACTTTTAGAAACCAATTTGAAGGGCAGCCCTGTTAGGGCAGTTTTTAATACGTATGAAGTTTTATCTGTTTTTAGTCTTCTGTTGGGAGCTGCCCAGAGGTGGGCTGGGGAAACCCAGCCAGATGGGTGGGGCACAATATAAAAATTATTTATTATTACTTAGTGATTCTGTACCCGTGGCCAGAGAAGGAGGCGAGGGACCTCCTATGAGAAGCCGAGGTGGGGTGGGTGGGAGTCTGCATTGGTTTTGTAAGCCATTTTCCACAAATATTTTACTCAACTGAAAAGAAGATCAAAAAATTCTTTGCAAAATGTATCTCTAAAAAAGACATAAGTTATCTGTTGGCTATTGAAATAACCATGTAGGGTATCTCTGTTTACTGATAGGTTAACTCTGGATTTGGCAGCGGGAGAAATTCAAGAAAGGAAATGCTACATAACGCAAAGATTCTTGACCTAGATTTGCTGAAGGGGAAACAAAAAAGGTATGGCATAGGTTGTTTAAAAAAGTGGAGACGAATAATTTTTAAACTTGACCACGTTAGCTGCTACAATGCCAATTTAAACTATCACTTTCTATTGACAGAAGAAGGCAACAACAAAAAAAAGGAAAAGTATTTTGTTCAAAATTTAGACCCATTCAAAAGGACACAAAATTGCTTAAGTCACAACTTCCAGCAGCTGAAATCATAAATTCCTGCAGCTATGTTGCCCCGTTTCTTTTAAAAACCACTTGGACAGACGTGGCCGCGCATGGTATTTTTTAAAGCCTGACTTAGTTACAGCACATTTACTCACATGAGAAAATGACAAAAAGGATTAAGTTGCAATATTATGCAGTTTAACCTGCAAAAAAGCCTCACTAAACATAGTGGGGCTTGTTCTGAGTAAGCTGTCTTTGATTACGCTAGAAGCTATAATTTAACCACTGCAAAGTTGATGCATGTTGTTATTTCTAACATCTCCGCTTAATTCAATGACCATTGCAATGCAAAACCATAATTCCAGCCGGTAAGTTTGCCAGCGTTTGCAAAAGTATCGTTTGGCCACAACTATGAACCTTCTAGAACTCTGCTTTCGAAAAACACATCCCTTAAATTTTACGCTCCTGCAATGCAAACAAGAGGGGGGAGGCTCCCCTTTAAGTTGTTAAAGTAAGGTAAAGGTACCCCTGCCCATACGGGCCTAGTTCTTTGACAGACTCTGGGGTTGTGCGCCCATCTGCACTCAAGAGGCGGGGGCCAGCGCTGTCCGAAGGACACTTTCCGGGTCACGTGGCCAGCGTGACAAAGCGCATCGGCAAGCCAGCGCAGCACAACGGAACACGCCGTTTCCTTCCGCCAGTAGCGGTCCTATTTATCTACTTGCACTCGGAAGGTCGCTTCGAACTGCTAGTTCAGGCCTGGGACCTGAGCAGCGGGAGCGCACCCCGCCACGGACGATACGCCGACCTTTCGATTGGAAGGCCCTAGGCCGTGAGGCTTTTACCCATGCAATTCCCATCGCTGGCAGCCAGCAATAGGGGTGGGTCAGGGATAATGGGGTGGGGCACACTTCCTCTATGTCAGATTGTAAACACTGGCTAACACACTATGTCCTTGCAGGCTTTGGACCCAGCGACAGGAGAACCCTGAGAACAGTACAATGGGCATGGGGAAGTTGTTCCGGTGGATTGCTTGCATGGAAGGAAGGAATGGAAGAAGTGTGATTTCTCCACCCATGAGTCCCTTGCGGCTCCTTCAAATGCTATCACTTGTGCCTGAAATCAGCGCAATGGACAGCAATACGTGTGTTTATTGGCTTACGCCCATGCCCTGAATCCCCCCCCCCCCCCTTGTTGTTACCCAGTGCCGGCTTTCTTGTTGAATGAGACCATATACACCCGGTCTTGAAAGACTATGCACTGGCTCCCAAGATGTTTCCGAGCACAATGTCAAAGTGTTGTGCTGACCTTTAAAGCCTAAATGGCCTCGGCCCAGTATACCTGAAGGAGCGTCTCCACCTCATCGTTCTGGTCGCCCGACTCGCTGAGGTCAGCACCGAGGGCCTTCTTGGCGGTTTTCCCTGCACTGCGAGACAGCCAAAGTTTAACAGGACCAGGCAGAGGGCTTCTCGGTAGTGGCACCCGCCTTGTGGCCGCCCTCGCCACCAATGTCAAAGAGAAAAACAACTACCAAACTTTTAGAAGACAATCTGAAGGAGCCCCTGTTTAGGGAAGCTTCAATGTTTAATAGTTATTGGTATTTTATGTTCTGTTGGAAGCCGCCGCAAAGTGCTGGGGAGGCCCAGAATGGCGGGATATAAATAATATATCTACTACTACTCTAACTACTACTATCTACTGATTTATTATTATTATCAGAATGGACTTCTCTCTTTCCATTCTATGCTACATTTAACCTCCCATTTACACATGGTTGTGTGTGTAGTGGCTGCCTCTTGGTGGGTCTATGATTGGCACATTGTGAGAACTATAACGGGCCTTGCTGGCCTGCGTTCAGCAAGGCTCTTATGTGTGTATACATCACACACACACACACACACACACACACACGAGGGTAACATGTCATGCATCTGATGAAGCAGATTGTAGTCCGTAAAAGCGTACTCATTTCATCTGGTTAGTCCTTAAGGGGCCACAAGACTCTCCGTTATGTTTCAAGGCACTTATAAGTTCCTGTTGCAGCACAAAAGTAGCCTGTCATAAGCACGTTTGGGAATCACAGATTACACCAAATTCCTGACTGTGGGAAGACAGCCTATACTTCAAAGTATTCCCACAATGTTTATCACATTGGGTTGATGAGTTTCCAGGCAAACTCTGCATGCTGGCCTTGTCAGGCTGAAAGTGAAGTTTGGTTGCGTGCTTAAAAAAGGAAGAAAAAAAGAAGGCTCTGCCTACTTTCACCACAGACCTGCAACATGGCATCACAAAACCGTAAAATATTCCCCTCCCACTCCACAAATTGATGGCCCTGTGCTGCAATTGCACGCTCTATATGCTAATCATTGACTTATGGCAACCACAATCTTAGGGTTGCCACAAGCTGGCCTGCCTGGCAACCAGGAGACGGAATCCAGGTTAATTCCAGTAATTTCAGATTATTTAATTAGGGTTCAAAGAAACAGCTTTCGAGAGCCAACTAAACACCCGCACAGAGTGTTATGCTGCACATAAGCTATTCTGCCATTCACCCTGATTGGACTTGCCTTCTCAGCTCATTAATAAAGTCTCACATACGGCAGTACATTAGAGCCCAAAAATAAAGAGAGAGAGGGGGGGGAGAAGGACAATGGCTTTAGAAAGGTTCCTCTAATCTCTGGGAAGTGCATCAGATCACTGCAGGTAACTCAGGAAATGTGAATGGGTTGGTACAATTGCGAGCACTGGAAGCCAAAGATACCCTAACAAGAAGCCATTTCATTTATTTAAAAACAAATATAGAAACTGAGCATTATTTTTTATTCTTTTCTAGGGGGTAGTATACACATGTGCACATGTGGGGGGGGAGTCACAATTACATGTACTGCAAAATCCTGAAATAATTGTTCTAGTTTTCTTTTTTTAAAAGAATAAAAAGCTTTATTGTTCCACTTCAAAAAGCACTTGCATATATGCTCGCTGGAGGCTTTGACACTAGGATTTTTTTCCAGATGGAGGATGCTGGATTTATCAATCAACTAGGGAACCTGTTATTGCTATTCATACCGAGGGATAATTCATTGAGAACCCCAGTACATATTGAAGAGCAGAGGTGGAGTGTTCTGCCCTCCTCCTTTAAGGGGTTAAATATCAGAAGTCAAAGCCTACCTCTGTCATCAAATAAACACAGTATACAGCTTACTTACAACTTCCATCACATTGGGGGTAAATGCGAATGTCACAACATATCTGGAGAAAAGTAGTTTTGCAAATTCAACTTAGGACATATCTGCAAACTTTTATGTCAATTAGTTACAACCTTAATAACAAACAGCTTTTAAAGAAGGGAATAAAGGAAGGCTAGTATGAAAATACATTAAAGAAATACCTGGCAGGAGCTGTTGGATAAATGACTTTTATATGCTGGAAAGACAAATCGTGACTCAAAACTCCTTTGATCCAGTCTCTTATTCCTTGGCCGGTATCACCTAAGTACGGTAATACAGAAAGATAAAGGCTAATTTAGATAATGCCACACAATGCCAAAGGCCAGGCCTGCTCTTTGTAATACACAAATATAGAATTGCATTATCCAAGAGAAAAACAGAATGTCATCTGGACAAAGGTGCTCAGCCTTATTGGATTTCAGGATAACTAACCACTCAGTGACCAAGTTCAGGTGATCATTCCAGGCTCCATACGCTATGGAGCTGGGACTCCTCCCGCAGTGCCCTTCCCATTCTCCTGTTATAGATCAGTTGTTGTGCAAAGATCCTGGCTTGTATTAAGCCAGATAACTGAAGCAGGGAACACTGCCTTAACGTCAGTTAACAAGCCAGGATCACATTGTCCAAAGATTACCCCAAACAAATTCCCAGGTGAGCACATGTGGTTTTGTGATAGTTGGAGGACTTTTGTCTCCCATTTTTGCAAACTGGTGAAACCAAAGCTCCTCTATGAATAACAATTATAAATTATGAGTATACTGGAGGAAAATATTGTAAGGGAAAGGAAGGCAAGTCAGAAAGCTTAACAAATTTGAGTATTTGAACTTCTCGTAGGAATGTTTCACAACAAGAGGAGCCAATGGACAACCTACTCCCACTGAATCCTTCTCTCACAGGGGCAAACCAGATAATGATTTTTTTTAATTAGATGCTTGTGGGAAACTGGCAAGCAGGACCCAGGCACAAGAGCAGTCTCCCCCCCCAACAGATTCCAGCAACTGCTAATCAGCATGACTGCTTCTGTCTATGGAAGCAGAGCACAGCCCATCATGGCTAGTACCCATTGACAGCTCTCTCCATGAATCTGTCCAATCTTCTTCTGAAGCCATCTAACAACAGCAATTTATTATTTATACCCCGCCCATCTGGCTGGGTTTCCCCAGCCACTCTGGGCGGCTCCCAACCGAATATTAAAAACACAATATAGCATTACACATTAAAAGCTTCCCTAAACAGGGCTGCCTTCAGAGGTATTCTAAAAGTAAGATAGTTGCTTATTGACATCTGATAGGAGGGTGTTCCACAGGGCAGGTTCCACTACTGAGAAGGCCCTCTGCCTGGTTCCCTGTAACCTCACTTCTCGCAGTGAGGGAACAGCCAGAAGGCCCTCGGAGCTGGACCTCAGTGTCTGGGCCGAACAATGGGGGTGGAGACGCTCCTTCAGGTATACTGGACCGAGGCCGTTGAGGGCTTTAAAGGTCAGCACTAACACACTGAATTGTGCCCAGAAACGTTGTTGTTGCTGTTTAGTCGTGTCCGACTCTTTGTGACCCCATGGACCAGAGCACACCAGGCACTCCTGTCTTCCACTGCCTCCCGCAGTTTGGTCAAACTCATGCTGGTAGCTTCAAGAACACTATCCAACCATCTCGTCCTCTGTCGTCCCCTTCTCCTTGTGCCCTCAATCTTCCCCAACTTCAGGGTCTTTTCCAGGGAGTCTTCTCTTCTCATGAGGTGGCCAAAGTATTGGAGCCTCAGCTTCAGGACCTGTCCTTCCAGTGAGCACTCAGGGCTGATTTCCTTAAGAATGGAAAGGTTTGATCTTCTTGCAGTCCATGGGACTCTCAAGAGTCTCCTCCAGCACCATAACTCAAAAGCATCAATTCTTCGGCGACCAGCCTTCTTTATGGTCCAGCTCTCACTTCCATACATCACTACTGGGAAAACAATAGCTTTAACTCTACGGACCTTGGTCGGCAAGGTGATGTCTCTGCTGGTCAGAAACATACTGGGAGCCAATGTAGGTGTTTCAGGACCGGTGTTATATGGTATTGGTGGCCACTCCCAGTCACCAGTCTAGCTGCCACATTCTGGATTAATTGCAGTTTCCGAGTCACCTTCAAAGGTAGCCCCACGCAGAGCACATTGCAGTAGTCCAAGTGAAGCATACACAAGACAGTCCACTGGCAGGTAGGGTCTCAGCCTGTATACCAGATGGAGCTGGTAGACAGCTGCCCTGGACACAGAATTGACCTGCGCCTTCATGGACAGCCGTGAGTCCAAAATGACTCCCAGGCTGCGCACCTGGTCCTTCAGGGGCAAAGTTACCCCATTCAGGACCAGGGAGTCCTCCACACCAGCCTACCCCCTGTCCCCCAAGAACAGTACTTCTGTCTTGTCAGGATTCAACCTCAATCTGTTAGCCACCATCCATCCTCCAACCGCCTCCAGGCACTCACACAGGACCTTCACTGTCCTCTCTGGTTCTGATTTAAAAGAGAGGTAGAGCTGGGTGTCATCTGCATACACCCAGCCCAAACCCCCTGATGATCTCTCCCAGCGGCTTCATACAGATGTTGAAAAGCATGGGGGAGAGGACAGAACCCTGAGGCATCCCACAAGTGAGAGCCCAGGGGTCTGAACACTCATCCTCCAACACCACTTTCTGGACACGTACCAGGAGAAAGTTGCGGAACAACTGTATAACAGTGCCCCCAGCTCCCAACCCCTGTAGACAGTCCAGAAGGATGTTATGTTTGATGGTATCAAAGCCCACTGAAAGATCCAGCAGAACTAGGAAACAGCTTTCACCTTTGTCCCTAGCCTGCCGGAGACCATCGACCATCCAAGTGGTTGGCCATCATTGCCTCCTGTGGCATTGAGTCCCATAGTTTCTAAGTCATCCAGCATGCAGCTTCATTTCCCAACCTATCATTTAACAACAGATTATGAAATTCCCCCAGGCCAGTCCAGTCTTCAATGTATATTGAGAGCTTCCAAGATGCACACCAAATCTTTATGGCTGATGCACGTTCAGGGAGAGAGGCTTGCCTACCCTTCACGGCCCTCCAAATATTGTTGGGTTTTCTGCTTCCACAGCGGCCAACCTGATACCAATGCAAAGCGGACAGGCAGGACCTGAACACAACACTGTCTTCCTTACTTGGGATTGTCAGAAATTGGCATTCAGAGATATAATGCTTCTGGCAGTGACTCATGGCCTGATACTGTGCCATGCCATCCTTTGGTCCTCTTTCCCCCTCAGCTGCAACATCCTGAAATCTACACAGCAAGGGGGTATGAGACAAGGGACTCAAGAGTTCATACTCTGAATAAATTTTCACTTGAGGAACAGATGTTGTCTCTGGGCCTCGTACTTGCAACTACAGCCCCCCCCCCCCGATTTCCATGAAAAACGATCCCTTATAAACACAAGTTTACACTCAGGTAGTAAAAACATTTTAAACAACTTTAGAGTGCTATAACTCCTTTCACACTTTTTTTTGTAAAAAAAAAAGTTTATTTAAAACCACATCTAAAAGCCTTTGATCTAGTCCACCTACGCAAACACTACAAATGAAAGGGCTGGAAGAGGATAGCACCTGCCGAGGAATAACAATTTCAGCATGCCTGTGGTCAGGTAAACAAGGTAGCCCTAAGGTGATGAAAGTTTCACAGGCGCTAAAGTACTCTGAGGTGGAGCACATGCTGTCCACACATACCGTCCGTCCCCAAAATCAGCTTAAAAATCAGTGCAAACTGAAATGCAATGGAAACGCAGAAGGAACGCACTTCTAAGGTGCAACTGCTTTTGGTACTGTTGTAGCTAGGAAGTGGATATCAACGTGGAGCGAGATGCCAGTCCACAGGAAGAATGTCAATCGGACCTGTGCCCCTAAAGTGCGCTTCCAGACCGTCACTAATTTCGGGTGGGATTCAATTATATACTGTCAAATTCCAGTTCTGCAATTAAAGGCGATTTGTAGCTCTTGCGCAACAAACCTGCTTCCCCCAAAACTATTGTTTTTAGCTTTAGTTTTGCAATAAGGAAGTCACAAGAAAATGTTGTCCAATCTCTCTGTAAACAAACAAGCCACTACACAAAGAATGGGGAACCTGGTGCCCTGCAGCTCCTGCTGGGATTACAGCTCCTGTCATTCCTGGCTATTGGCTATGCTGGCTGGGACTGATGGGTGACTGATTCCAGTAACACCAGAATGGCCAATTTCCCAAGCCCATTTAAAAGATCACCACCCAGATGTAAAATGACAGGTACACCATGCACTTGAAGCACATCCAATACTCATTTAAGGCATGCAATTTCCTCCAAAGAACCCTGGGAAAACCATAGCTTGCTATGGGAATTTTAGTTGTGAGGGGGAAACGGCCGTCCCCAGGTTAACCAGGGGGAAGTCACGTGCTTTAAATGTGCACCGGATGTGCTTTGAATTCTTAGGCACAACTTTCATCCAGCAATGTGCCACCCGAGGGCATCCGCATCTCTGCAAATTCATCCAGGATTGAGACCACCTTTCCGGCTGGCTTGAACTTCTGAAACCTTTCTTTTCAAGGAAGAGCTGTGGACACTCCCTTGGGAGCTGGCGAGAGGTTTTTAAGCAAAGGCTGGACGGCCATCTGCCATGGATGCTTCTTGAGATTCCTGCATTGCAGAGGGTTGGACTAGATGACTCTCGGGGGTCCCTTCAAACTCTACAACTGCATGATTCCTTGCACAAAGAAGGAACAAAAGCCAGTATATAGAAAACTCCCTACGCCCCTTTCTGTGCGCCTTTGCTGTGAAATGGCACCGCAACCGCCCACTCCCTTATTGGCGAAGCTTGGGGAGGCTTCCGCGGTGGCGCCCCCTGTAGACCGGCTCTGCGGTCGGACTCATCCACCTGAGCCGTGGAGGAAGATGACGGAAGCCGTGTGTCTCCCCGCGGGGGCCACCACGCTCCTCTGCAGCGCCGCTGGAGCCGCCATGGCTGTGCCAACCCTCCGGAGAAAAGGGGCGGCCAAGGCGCACAGCGCCGGCGCGTCGCAGGGAAAGTCCGCGCGCTTCCATTGGAGGAGGAAGCCCTTTGCGTAAAAGCGCAGGCGCGGCTGCCGCTCTGGGTGAGGCGGCTGGGAGGAAAAGCGAAGGCGGGTAGGCTGCGCAGCTCCGTCCAGCGCTGGGTTAGCGGTCCTCAACCTGTGGGTCCCTAGAGATGTTGTTGGACTACAACTCCCATCTTCCCTGAGCTTGCTAGCTAGGGGTGATGGGAGTTGTAGTTCAACATCTGGGGACCCACTGCAAGCCGTGGATTGAAATGCGCCCAACTCCGCGTGGTATTGCAACGTTAGAAGGAGACGAGGGGAACTGCAGGGGAGAGTTGCTTTTTCCTTCTTCTTTTTTTAAACAGTGCAGTCTCATACTTAACATGAATAATTCCCATTGACATCAACGGGGCGTATCCCAAGGGAGTCGGCATAGGATTGCAACCTGATTGCTAAGCAATACCTGGAAACGGTTCTCTGATCTGTAAGGTATTTCTGCTAGTCAGCGATGCGATTCTCTGTAGGTAGCACGGGGAGGAGGGGAATGCGCTCTCCCCAGGGCCTTGTTTTGTTTCGTTTCGTTTTCTTATCAACATACAATTCAGGGTTAAGCCCTCATACTTAAAGCAGCTGCCAGCGTTGTGCACAGCGTACACATTAACGGTAACACAAATAAAGATGGCGATCCTGTTCACACTGTCTTGGGCATAAGCCTCACTGGATTCAGTGGAAATTCCTTCTGAATAGAGAAGCAGAGGATAGGGCTGTAAAGGCCTTGCAAAGGAACAAAAGTGTTTTTTTTTGGGGGGGGGGAGGCGGTCTGAAAAGGTGACAGAGGGGAGGTGTGTGTTGGAAAGGGTGGGAATGCCAGCAGTAGACCAGCTCCTATTTCCTTAATTTAGTCCTACCATCCTTTCTGTCTGCAGAACTCTCTTAATTCCTTCTTTGTGTGGGTCATGCTCCTTTAAAGTCCCAGTGATTTAACTTGAGGGGTTGTTTTTTTGGGGGGGTGGGGTGGGAGGCTCGTATTTTTCTGTGAAAGTCTCCCCAGTGAGGAGCATGCCACCTTCAGCTTTTCTGTGGGGAAAAGTAGAAGGAACTTCTGGAGAAGTTTGCTTTCATTAGCAAAAAGGCAGTTGCGATGTTATGCAGTAAGATAATAGGCAGTAAGGGACGTGGGTGGCCGATCAGAAGGTCGGCGGTTCGAATCCCCACGACAGGGTGAGCTCCCGTTGTTTGGTCCCTGCTCCTGCCAACCTAGCAGTTGGAAAGCACGTCAAAAAGTGCAAGTAGATAAATAGGTACCGCTCCAGCGGGAAGGTAAATGGCGTTTCCGTGCGCTGCTCTGGTTCGCCAGCAGTGGCTTAGTCATGCTGGCCACATGACCCGGAAGCTGTACGCCGGCTCCCTCAGCCAATAAAGCGAGATGAGCGCCGCAACCCCAGAGTCGGTCACGACTGGACCTAATGGTCAGGGGTCCCTTTACCTTAATAGGAAGTAAGAAAGTATTTGGTTGAATTTCATTTAATCATAAGGGGCACAGTACTGGAAGGTGCCTTGTAGGACCAGTCCAGTAGTCTTCAACCTTTTCCAATCTGGAACCTGCCTGGCATTTGGGAATTCATTAATTCCTTACCATCTATTTCTGTTGTGCTGCTGCTGCTGCTGCTGCTGCAACCCATCAGGCCATGACCCAGTAGCTGAATACCAATGAGCTAGTAGTCTAACCCTCTAGAAGGGAAGGGTCATAGCTCAGTGTTAGGGCAACTGCTTTGCGTGCAGAAGATCCCAGATCCAATCCTTAATGTCTGCAGGAAGGCCTGCAAGAGACCCTGCTGCTGCCAGTCAGTGTAAACAGTACTGAGCTAGATGGTCTGATTCAGAGTAAGACAGCTTCCTGCGTTCCCTTCTCACAGCAGGCAACCCATCAAATGGCTGTCTAGGCTCGGTTTGAAGACCTGAGTTTGAAGTGATGGAGAGTCCATTAACATACTAAGGAATTGGGTCTCTTGCTAGGCTTCTCTTAACATCAGATATGTCACCTACAGCCGAAATATATGTACCTTTCTGAAGATGGTGGCAGCTGCAACAGCCATTTTGCCCACTACTCGGTGCTGGGCTGCTCACCTCCTGTCCCCATAGTCTCTCTCCCCCCATGGCTGTTCTCTAGTAAGAGAGACCCACAATGGTGGGGCCCAGAGGAGAGGCCCAGAGGGCATTTTGACTTCACCAGCACTGCATCGAACTCACTAGGACTCAAATGCTTATGGGCTTGCAATCTTGCTGTGCGAGTGTTTTTGCATGTCATGCAGCCTGATCCTGTCCACATTTCTCCCTCCTGCTTTCTGCCTGTATTCTCTACGTTTTGCTCACACCTTCCTTGGCAACTAACCATACGTCCTTAGGGAGGCCCGGTGCTCACTTTGAGAATCACTGCAATTTGTTGAAGGCATTTTAATCGCCTTCATATGTGGATTAGTTCAGAAAACACATGTGAGGTAAGCACTTGTCCAGCCCCTCCCTGCTCCCATTTTTATACTTCTGGGAGCTCATGTTTATGGCTTCCACATTTTGCCATTTATTTGTCTAAAGTGGGGCGGGGATGTATTCCCCTCCCCCAGTTTATGTGCTGCCATAATAACCTCCCCCCCCCTTTCTTGTTTTGTTTTTCATCACTTATTAGCTCAGCTCCCCAGCTGTGCAGCACCACTCCCTGGTGTGAACTACAGAGGCGTAATTCTGACAAGTTTACTTTGGCCCAAAATTTACGGCATTTCATATGGGCAAAGCAGTATCTTGTTCACATTTCCATTGCAATACACTTACTTTGTGTGGCAGCATCTGTCCTCACCGTGCGAGGAACACTGAAAAGGTGGCATTTTTGGAAGGTAAAAAATGACGTGTGCGGCAACTTGCTCATTACAGGAACAAAAGGATTGTCGAAAGGGGGAGAGAAGATACATTAGCTGTGCGTGAGGAATGACGTTCCTTCTGCGGAGGAATACTCCACATGCCCTTTTCAGTGGTGAAACGCAACTGAGTTACGTGCACCAAATCACTTTTATATACACGTCTCAGGATATGCAGTGCACCATACACAAGGTTACCTGTTAGGTACAGTAGGCTGAAAGATCATGGTTTGCCCAAAGCCAGGAGTTGATGGGTGGCTTTTTAGAGGCCTCTGCAATAAGAACATAGCAGAGCCTTTCTGCACCCGGCCAATGGCCTGTCTAGGCCAGCATCCTGTTCTTACAGTGGCCAACCAGAGGCCCATGGGGACTTCAGCACAAAAACCCTCTCCTGAGGTTAACAGCAACTGCTATTCAGAAGCATTACTGCCAATATTGGGTTACTGCCACCTTACTCACTCACACTTGACTAATGTGGTGTACCTAGAAAGGCTTATTAAAAATGTGCTGTTTATTTAAAGCAGAGATGAAAAGCCTGTCCTCGTTTCACATGTTATTGACTGGGTCATTATAAAGAGAATTAGTGGTTCTTAATTGATAGGGGATTAGGTAGTACTGTATTGTATTATTTATGCAAATTGCTTTTCTCCGGAGTTAAAGATCTGACCAGGACAAACCTTGATATGTTCGTATTTTGCAAAATTTGTATACAGTGTCTGTTTGATAATGTGTGGTTTGCTATGCCTAATAAAGGAATATATATCTATATCTATATTTGTTGTTGTTGTTGTTGTTTAGTTGTTTAGTCGTGTCCGACTCTTCGTGACCCCATGGACCAGAGCACGCCAGGCACCTCTGTCCTCCACTACTTCCCGCAGTTTGGTCAAACTCATGCTGGTAACCTCGAAAACACTATCCAATCATCTCGTCCTCTGTCGGCCCCTTCTCCTTGTGCTCTCCATCTTTCCCAGCATCAGTGTCTTCTCCAGGGAGTCTTCTCTTCTCATGAGGTGGCCAAAGTACTGGAGCCTCAGCTTCACGATCTGTCCTTCCAATGAGCACTCAGGGCTGATTTCCTTAAGAATGGATGCGTTTGATCTTCTTGCAGTCCATGGGACTCTCAAGAGTCTTCTCCAGCACCATAATTCAAAAGCATCAATTCTTCGGCGATCAGCCTTCTTTATGGTCCAGCTCTCACTTCCATACACCACTACTGGGAAAACCATGGCTTTAACTATACAGACCTTTGTTGGCAAGGTGACATCTCTACTTCTCAAGATGCTGTCTAGGCCTGTCATTGCCCTTCTCCCAAGAAGCAGGTGTCTTTTAATTTCGTGGCTGCTGTCACCATCTGCAGTGATCATGGAGCCCAAGAAAGTAAAATCTCTCACTGCCTCCATTTCTTCCCCTTCTATTTGCCAGGAGGTGATGGGACCAGTGGCCATGATCTTCGGTTTTTTTATGTTGAGCTTCAGACCATATTTTGCGCTCTCCTCTTTCACCCTCATTAAAAGGTTCTTTAATTAATTAATGTATTTAATTCATTAATTTAATGTATTTAATTAATTAATTTACTTAATTAATGTATTTAATTAATACATATATCTATATATATATATATATGTATGTATGTATGTTATTGACTGGATTCCAACTTCCATCACATCCAGTGAGACTTAACTCAAATGCTGGTGTTTGTAGGATTCCATGTAAATATGCGCAGAGCTGCATGGATGGCGAGTTGCAGTCTGAAGGTCTTTCACACAAGACACGGCAGCAACCCCAAAGGGGGAAATTGGGCTCGAGCAAAGCAAGTCCTGCTGAGTCAATTCCACCTTCCTTTTTCAGTCCTGTAAGATGGTGAAGGGTCAGTCTCAAGGTGAGCTAGGGCCAGGAGCTATAATGTGCAACTGGCTGCCCACAGAACTGGGTTGGAGCCACTGTGGAGGGATGTGTGAGTGAGTGTGATCTCCTGTGAGTCATAGTATATGGGAAAGGGAATATAAATAAAGCTCCATAACTCAGAAATCATACAATACATTTTCAATGGCTTGTCGGAGACTTCTCACATTCCATCCTTTTGTTCCAGAA